GTGGACGGGCAGCTGTGCTGAGCCACTGGCCATGGAGCGCTCGTGCCGCTCGGTGCTGACGATGGTGGGGTAGATGTGCTCCTCCTTGAAGGCCGCCACCTTGCCCTCCTCCTGGCCCAGTCCAGCGGCTCGTGCAGCCCGTCGCCGCCGAACGCTGGTTGTACTTCTCGAAGTGCACCCGCTCCAGCACCAGCCCCAGCCCGGCGCCTTGGGCACGTCCACCTTCTCCTCGCCCCAGCTGCGCTCCAGCACGCTCTCCGGCGCGTAGCCCTTCACGATGGCCACCACCAGCCCCACCACTCTTCCGGATCTGGTGCGTCATGAAGCTCTGGCCCTTCACCTTGATGATGGCGAACTCCAGGCCCTCGCGCTCGAAGGGCTCCTCGCAGAGCATCTCCAGGATGTAGCGCCGCGCGCTGGGCTCCGCGGCCCCTTCTGCGAGGTGAAGTTGTGGAAGTGTGCGTGCCCTTGTAGCAGGCCAGCAGCCGGTTGACCTGCCGCAGCGTCTCGGGGCTCAGGGGTAGGTCTCGTCCTGCGCGTCCGGTCCTTGTGGGCGAAGGCGAAGGTGGGCAGCATGTAGCAGTACGTCCTGGCGTCACACTTGTTCTTGGAGTTGAACCCCCCGTGACCCGCTTCAGTCCTGGGCAGGGCCGGGAAACGAGAAGAAAGGTCAGGTGAGCAGAGACGCCAGTGAGCACGGCCCCTCCTCGCCCAGACAGGTACGCAGCCCTCGCCAGGGCGCACTGCTGGGGACAGGAGGGCTCCCGGGCGGTCAGCAGGCACACAAACCCGGGCGCTATTTCTCTTAGTCCTGTTTGTCCTTTGTTCCCCTTTTCTTCCTTCTTTTGGATTAACCAACCTTCTTCCTTCCTTCCTTCCTCCTCTTCCTTCCTTCCCTCCTTCCTTCTCTTCCTTCCTTCCTTCCTTCCCCTCCCTCCCCTCCCTCCCTTCCCTCCTCCCTCCCTCCTCCTCTCCTCCCCGTCCTCCTCCCTCTCCTCTCCTCCCCTTTCTCTTCTCTTCTCTTCTCTTTTTTTTTTTGAGACAGAGTTTCACTCTTGTCGCCCAGGCTAGAATGCGGTGGCATCATCATAGCTCACTGTAACCTCAAAGTCCTGGGCTCAAGTGATCCTCCTGTCTCAGCCTCCCGAGTAGCTGGGACTACTGGCATGCACCACCGCATCTGGCTAATTTTTTCTTTTGTTTTATTTTTTTGAGACAGAGTCTCAACTCTGTTGCCACCAGATTACCGTGGCGTCAGCCTAGCTCACAGCAACCTCAAACTCTGGGCTCAAGTGATCCTCTTGCCTCAGCCTCCCAGAGTACTAGGATTACAGGCGTGAGCCACCGTGCCCAGCCTAATTTTTTCTATTTTTAGTAGAGACAGGATCTCACTCTTACTGAGGCTGGTCTTGAACTCCTGACCTCAAGCGATCCTGATCCTCCTACCTCAGCCTCTTAGAGTGCTGGGATTACAGGTGTGAGCCACCACACCCAGCCTAACTCTTTGTTTTTTTAGTGATTGGTTTGGAGTTTAAGCCAAAGGTTGAGAAATTTTTTGTGTGAAGGACCAAGTAGTCAATATTTTAGATTTTGTGGCCATATAGATTATAATGTCTATGTCTTTTTTTTGTTGTTTTTTAACCACCCTTCAGTCTTATTTCACAGGCTGTACAGAAACAGGCTGTGGTTTTGGCCGTGGTTTGCCAGTTCTGGTTCAAAGCTTATTCTTCAATTCACCACGGTGCCCCTCCGTGGAAATTAGACTTCACGTGGAACCTGAGGACTTCACAGCAGGGTGGCACTTGCACTTCTGCCCTCTTGGCCTCTGCTGCCGGCGATGTGCATTTTACTTCTATATATGTTATAAATCCCATGGTTATTGTTTTTTCTTAAACAGCCAATATGTTAAAACATGTTAAATGCTTTTTTTTATTGAAGCAAAATTAACATACTATAAACCTTGTGTGTTTAAGTATACAATTAAGTTTTTTTTTTTTTGAGACAGAATCTCACTCCGTCGCCCTGGCTAGAGTGCCGTGGCATCAGCCTAGCTCACAGCAACCTCAACTCCCTGGGCTCAAGCGATCCTCCTGCCTCAGCCTCCAGAGTAGCTGGACTACAGGCATGCACCACCGCCAGCTCATTTTTCTATATATTTTTAGTTGGCCAATTAATTTCTTTGTATTTATAGTAGAGACGGGGCCTCACCCTTGCTCAGGCTGGTCTCCAACTCCTAACCTTGAGCGATCCTCCCTCCTCGCCTCCCAGAGTGCTGGATTACAGGCGTGAGCCACCGCGCCCGGCCTACAATTAGGTTTTGACGTGTGTGTGCACCTGTGAGCCCATCCTCACAGGTGAGCAGTGAACAACCACTTCTCCTGTGCCCCATCAACCCTTCTCCCCAGGCAGCCGTCGACCTGCTTTCTGTCTCGAGAGGTTAGTCTGCGTGTGTAGACGTGTGTGAATGGAATCATGCCATGCCTACTCTCTGTTTTTGTCCAATGTCTTCACTCAGCCTGGTTATCTTAAGATTCATCCGCGTGGTGTACGTCAATGGTTCTGTTTACTGCTGCGGGGTGTCCCGTCATACACGCCCTGCCACAGGTTTTCATACTCATCCCTGCAGGTGGGCAGTTGTGCGGCTTCCAGTTTTGAGCTGTTACAAGTAAAGCTGCGATGCACGTTTGTGTGTGAGTCACAAATGGCATTCAGTAATCCTTGTTGATTATTTCACCCTCTATTATTAAATTTACTTTTACTGTGATACAGGTTCGTTTTCATACTGTGGTCTTTTCTCTGACTTGAGAGGATTATTTCCTCCTGTAAAAGTCCTCCTAGATCTGGGAGGCTGAGGCGGGCGGATCAGTTGAGGTCAGACGTTCACGCCTGCTGACCGGCCCGGGAGCCCTCCTGTCCCCAGCAGTGCGCCCTGGCGAGGGCTGCGTACCTGTCTGGGCGAGGGGGGGCCGTGCTCACTGGCGTCTCTGCTCACCTGACCTTTCTTCTCGTTTCCCGGCCCTGCCCAGGACTGAAGCGGGTCACGGGGGGGTTCAACTCCAAGAACAAGTGTGACGCCAGGACGTACTGCTACATGCTGCCCACCTTCGCCTTCGCCCACAAGGACCGGGACGCGCAGGACGAGACCTACCGCCTGAGCCCCGAGACGCTGCGGCAGGTCAACCGGCTGCTGGCCTGCTACAAGGGCACGCACAACTTCCACAACTTCACCTCGCAGAAGGGGCCGCGGGAGCCCAGCGCGCGGCGCTACATCCTGGAGATGCTCTGCGAGGAGCCCTTCGAGCGCGAGGGCCTGGAGTTCGCCATCATCAAGGTGAAGGGCCAGAGCTTCATGACGCACCAGATCCGGAAGATGGTGGGGCTGGTGGTGGCCATCGTGAAGGGCTACGCGCCGGAGAGCGTGCTGGAGCGCAGCTGGGGCGAGGAGAAGGTGGACGTGCCCAAGGCGCCGGGGCTGGGGCTGGTGCTGGAGCGGGTGCACTTCGAGAAGTACAACCAGCGCTTCGGCGGCGACGGGCTGCACGAACCGCTGGACTGGGCGCAGGAGGAGGGCAAGGTGGCGGCCTTCAAGGAGGAGCATATCTACCCCACCATCGTCAGCACCGAGCGGCACGAGCGCTCCATGGCCCAGTGGCTCAGCACGCTGCCCGTCCACGACTTCAGCGCCACCGCCCTGGCGGCGGCCGGCTCGGGCGCCAAGGTAGGGCCTGGGTCACCGTGGTGCTGGGCTGGAGCCCATGCCCTCGCCGAGGCCGGGCCGAGGGCTTGTCATCGTTCCCATTGTGGGGAAGAGCAGGCTAAGGCACAGAGAGGTGCATCACTTCCCCCAGAGCCGCACAGCCTTGGAGGAGCAGGGCCAGGGGGGTGGGCCGAGCGGTCAGTGGCCCTGAGATGTGCCTCGCTGGCTGCCTGGGGCCCTCGTGACTCTTTTTTATTTATTTATTTATTTTTATTTTTTGAGACAGAGTCTCACTCTGTTGCCCAAGCTAGAGTGCTGGCTCACAGCAACCTCAATCTCCTGGGCTCAAGCCATCCTCCAGCCTCAGCCTCCCGAGTAACTGGGACTACAGGCATGCGCCACCATGCCTGGCTAATTTTTTCTATATACTTTTAGTTGGCCAATTAATTTCTTTCTATTTTTAGTAGAGGCAAGGTCTTGCTCTTGCTCAGGCTGGTTTTGAACTGACCTTGAGCGATCCTCCCGCCTCGGCCTCTCAGAGTGCTAGGATGACAGGTGTGAGCCACCGCGCCCAGCTGAGCTTGATTTTTTTTCTAAGAGAAAGTAAAGTGTTGACGGTTATTAATTTTCTCAAGCACTGTGCAGGCTGAATGAAGCACAGGTGCCGCTCTGACCGGGGCCGGATGGGACTTGTGGATTCCTGCTAAGGGGGCTTCTGACCAGCTGCTGTCTTTAGATATGGCTGAAGTGTCTGCACTTGTCCAGCTTTGGAACAGCCCAAGTCTATTTCCCCTGTGGGGACTTGAAGCAGCCCAGCAAAAGCCTCCCTCCTGTCCCCAGCCCCAGGCTTTCCCTGTGTGGTTCTTGAGCCAGGTCAGAGAACCAAGGAGAAAAGTGCTTACCTTTACAGAGTGGGGCACCGCGGGCTCCGGTGCCCAGCCCGGCTCCAGGCAGGGGAGAAGCAGATGCCGGGTGGGAGGGGTCCCCCTTTGCGGGAAGGAAGCACCTGCAAGTGGGGCGGGGTCGCTTCAGTCGTTTCCTGTCTGGTCCTCTTCTGCAGGTCTCCAGCCCCCAGGAGGGCAGTGGGGAGGACGGCAGCGGAGAGGACGGGGACACAGACTGAGGCCGTGGGAGCCGCCCGCCACAGCCTCTCGGAACCGGCCTACCGCGCGCACTCCGCGGGAGCCGCCGGGGTCACTGCAGCAGGAGTGTCACTCTCGGCCCAGAGCCGGGATGCCTGGGCCTGTCAGCTGTGCCTGGCCTCGTAACCTCAGGGTCTCGACACCCAGAACCTTCTCAATTTTCATCACAGGAATAACCTGCTTCGAATCTATTTTCAGCTCGTGGGTTACATACGTGCACCTCAGCATGTAAAGCCAATATTTTTTTAAATAGGTGATTTTCTTATTAAATAAATATAAATTTTGCTTAGTGAATCCTATTTTGGCCCTCTTGTACATTTTTCTTTTGCCAGAGGGATGAGCTCTGCTGTGTTAGGAACAGGCACTGCCGAATAAAACAGACACAGCCCTGTCCTCCCTGGGGTGAGGGACAGAACCAGTCACCCAGATGGCCCTGGAGAGTGGCGGGGAAGCCAGAGCAGGGTGGCGGAGGCTCCCAGGAGCCGGGTAGGAAGCTGGAAGTGTCCGGCTGTCAGAAGGCATCTGGCTGTGAGCAGTGAGCCCAGCAGGCACACAAACAAGAAGAGGATGGCCGTCTGGGCTGGAGCCGTGGCCCCTGGTGGTGTTGGACCTGGCGCCTTCTCTTTTCCCGCCTGGCTGTCTTGAGTACGTGGCCTTTGGCCTGGTGACAGACAGTGGCTCTGACCCCCCTACCATCTGCGTCCACGGTCCAGGTGGGGGAGACGGCAGTGAAGGGGCACGTGGCTGAATGTGCTCCTTGGTGTGTGTTCCCAGGAGACCCACCAGCAACTTCGCCTCAGGGGCCATTTAGAAGTGGCATAGAGTGACACGGGGTGCAAAGTGCACGTTCTGTTAGTGAGGATGAGGGGAGTGGGAGGTGGGCGGGCAACTAGCAAGGCTGCCGTGGGAGCCCAGGGAGGGTCCCAGGTGGGGAAGCGGTGTGCACGTGTGCGTGCATGCAAGTGTGGTGTGCCCACACGTGCCTGTGGGCGGGCTGTTTGGGTGACAAGCCAGTCAGGAGACCACTGGGGAGACTGGTGTGAGGGAGGGGCCTGTTCCGGAATGACCCGCACAGCAAAACAGAGCTGACTGCCCCAGGCACCTGCTGCTTCCACTCTGCCTCTGCAGCCACCACCTGGGCCCTGCCTGGAGCAGATAGCAAGGACCCCACAGCTGTGGCCGGGGTGGGAGGTCAGCTCCATCAGCCACCCAGTCCTGGTCTGAGCACCCGGCCCTCAGCACTGGGCCTGCCCTCCCTGGCAGGGGGACTCAGTCTCCCGACCCCATCGCCAGCAGCAGCTGCAGCTAGACCGAGGAGACGCTGCCACCACGCTGTCCCCTCTGGCAAACGCACCACACCCAGAGGATGTTGTTTCTGACATCCGTCCCAGCTTCACCCACACGAGGGAAAAGGCTGGTCCACACCCCGGCAGTCCACTGGGGAGAACCAGCGCTGGGAAAAATGATAAATTGCTTTTCAACAAAACTGGAAGCTTCTCATCAAAACAGCCAGTCCAGGGAGTTCTCCGAACGCGTCGTTTCACTGACGAACACTCGTGTTCTGTGTGGGGTCGAGCAGGAACGCACCTGGAGCCTTAGCACCCCTTGGGCGGGGACGCCCACCTGTGCTGGGGCTGCGCCACCCGCACTCGCTGCTTCTGACACCGTGGGCTGCTCAGTCGCTGCCCCACGCAATCCCTGGCCCACGCGGTCCCCGTCCCACGGGCCACCCTCACGGACCACCCTAACCCCACACCTCACTATCCCCGTCCCCATTCCCTTTCCCACGCCCTATCCCCACGGACGACCCTAACCCTACAACTCACTATCCCCCGGCGTGTTCCCTTTCCCACCCCCGATTCCCGCCCCACGCGGTCCCCATCGCACGCGCGACCCATGGAGAGAGATCTCCCGCCGCCGTAGCGCCGCCGTTCCTCCGCGCGCCCGGATGCGCCGAGCGCCGCGCGGCGCCTGGAGCCTCCCGCCCTCCCGACGCGGCCGAAGCGCGGCCGAGCCAGGGTGAGTCGGGGGCGCCGCGGGCCGGCGGCGCGGGCGGGCGCGCCGGGCCCCAGGCCGCAGCCGGGCGCGCGCAGGCCGGCGCGCCCGCGTGGGGCAGGCCGCGCGGCTTGTGGCGGCCGGGCGGCGCGGGCCGGGGGCGGCTGCCGAGCGCCCCGCGCCGGGCCGGTGGCAGTGGCGGGTGGCCGTGGCGGCGCTCGCCCGCGCCGTTCTGTCCCGATGTCGCCGGCGGGTCGGGCTCGGGGCGGCTGGAGTCGCGTCGCGGCCCGTTGCTGGGCGGGTCGCGCCGCGGCTGGGGCGCGCCGGGCCTGGGCGCCCTCGCGGGCCGGCGCCTGCTCGGCGTCCGGGGGCCCGGGGGCCCTGGTCCTCCGTCCGCGCCGGGCCCGGGGCCCGGGCGGAGTGGGCGTCGCGGCCGTCGGACAACCGGGCTGCGGCGGCCGCCGCGACACTCTCCCTCAGGACGCTCGGCGTCCTGACAGGAAAGTCGCGGCGGAACGTCCGGGGCTCCCCTCTGGCGTTGTGACGAGTCCCGTCCTTTTCTGTCTGCGTTTTCCGGTGTTTTTGCAGAGCACGCGCGGCGCAGGGGCGTCTGCAGTTTCTGTGTGGTGGGCACACACCTGGCATGGGCGGAAAATCAAACGCGCCTGTCAAGAAGTCCGAGTCGCTCTGTCACCAGTTTCCTCGTGGCCCCTTGTTCTTCTGTCCCTGTGATTTTTTTTTTTTTTTTTTTTGAGACAGTCTCGCTTTGTTGCCCAGGCTAGAGTGAGTGCCATGGCGTCAGCCTAGCTCACAGCAACCTCAAACTCCTGGGCTCAAGCGATCCTCCTGCCTCAGCCTCCCGAGTAGCTGGGACTACAGGCATGCGCCACCGTGCCCGGCTCATTTTTTTTTTTCTATATATATTAGTTGGCCAATTAATTTCTTTCTATTTATAGTAGAGACGGGGTCTCGCTCTTGCTCAGGCTGGTCTCGAACTCCCGACCTCGAGCAGTCCGCCAGAGTGCTAGGATTACAGGCGTGAGCCACTGCGCCCCGGCTGTCCGCGTTATTTTTGAGGAGTAACTGGGACCCTATGACGTAATTTTGTGCGCTTTGGAAACCTAAGTTAGCGAGATCACATGCGTTGCGACCTCCCCGGTGACACCTTGTGGGTGCTGCTGCACCTGTGAAGCATCGGTGGTTTCACCTGGGTGAGGTGCTCTCCTGTACAGTGTGGTGCCCTGCCGTCTCGCCCGGGGTTCAGTCTCTCTGCAAAGCATTCTCCTCCATGTGCAAACCTGCCCTTGACGCTAGGCACCCTTCCAGCTACCTTTTTGAGGTCCAAGCTTCCTTTTATATTTTATACCAGGATTGGAAAGGATTTTTCATCTGTCACCGTTTCCCCTAGTCCTGATCTCTCTCTCTTTTTTTGCAACATAGTCTCTTTCTGTCACCCAGGTTAGAGTGCCGTGGTGTCATAGCTCGCTGCAGCCTCCCGAGTAGCTGGGACTACAGGCATGCGCCACCATGCCCGCCTAATTTTTTCTACACATATTAGCTGGCCAATTAATTTCTTTGTATTTATAGTAGAGACGGGGTCTCCCTATTGGTCAGGCTGGTCTCGAACTCCTGACCTCAAGCAATCCGCCAGCCTCGGCCTCCCGAGTAGCTGGGACTACAGGCATGCGCCACCATGCCCACCTAATTTTTTCTACACATATTAGCTGGCCAATTAATTTCTTTGTATTTATCGTAGAGACGGGGTCTCCCTATTGGTCAGGCTGGTTTTGAACTCCTGACCTCAAGCAATCTGCCAGCCTCGGCCTCCCAGAGTGCTAGGATTACAGGCGTGAGCCACCGCGCCTGGCCCCTGCTTCCTCTCTTAAACATTTTTTGATGCATTTCAAAGTAAGTGTGTAACACAGTATCTCTTTTTGTAGAGGGTTGTATTAAAATTAGAGTTAAAATTGAGTTAGATACCTGCTCAATGTAAGTAAAACAATAAATAAGAAAAGAAATTAAAAAGAAATGTTTTTTTTAAAAAGAAAAGAGAATCAGGTTAGAAACATAGCCATTACACATTTTAAAAGTTTAGCCATTGTTGACAGCTTTGCTATCCATTGCAGTACCTGTACCATGTTTTTGGGAAGCAATGCTGTAGTTAAACAATTCCTTTACATTGTAGTTGATATGTTTGTTTCTCTACCTTGACTATAAGTTTACAGAGGTCAGGAACCTTGTTTTTTTTTAAATTGAGCTATAATTTACATATGGTAAAAGTTCCTATTTTTTAGTATATGCTTCTGTGAATTTTTGACACATACGTTCTGTCTGGTAACCATTATCACAAATCAAGCTACAGAAATAGTTCTCACCTCCCAGATTTCCTCAGGCTTCTTTCTAGTCCGCTCCTTCTTCTCCCATTAGTCAGTCAAGTCTGTTCTGATCTCTGTCATCGTGGTTTTGCCTCGTTCAGAAGGTCATGCCAGTGACCCACACAGGCTGTGGTCTTAGTCTGCCCTCTGTTACTTGGCACCTTGCACCTGACACTCACCTGTGCCGTCGGGTCCAGTGGTTGGTTCCTTGGAGGTGCTGAGTCCTGCTGTGTTGCCTGCTGTACCGCAGTGTCTTGTCTGCCCATCAGGTGGAGGTTGGTATTAGTATTGGCATGTGGATCTCTTTTTATTTATATTTTTAACAGTGATTATGTTGTACAATTGCTATCCTGCTTTACTTAATAATATATCGAATACTTTTCTGTTTTTACTGCATATTTTCCATTTAGAACTTGAACACTGGGTATTTCTGGTTATGATTTCCATTTTTATTGTATTATTCTGCAATGAATATTTTTTACACCCATTTTTTTAAGTTGGTAAGTTAATTTCCTTAGGATAGATTTCCAGAAGTAAGATGACTCGGTCAAAGGTTATGGGGTCAGATGGGTTCCTTTCACTCTCCCACTGCTGTCTGTAGTTGTCCACGCCCACTAGGCAGTTTTTGGGATATGAACCCCTTTGAAATCTTCCTATGTCTCCCCAAATTGCTCCCTGATTCCCTGCAGCAGTGTTAAGATTACCAGTTGTCTGACTTAGTGTCTTGGCTGCGTGAATCTAGGGAAATGTTTGTTTAGTCTGTATTGCAGTGTTTAGTAGCAAGGCTGGTCGTCTTCCTCTAAGTTAGTTAAGTAGATGTTTTTCTTTTGTGAACTCTTTCTTCTTGTGTCTAATTCTTTTTTTTTTTTGGAGACAGAGTCTCACTCTGTTGCCCAGGCTAGAGTGAGTGCCGTGGCATCAGCCTAGCT